CAATGGTATCAATGTGGATTTCACAAGCTTCAAAATCTCCCCTCCCCTCACCGCATCCCAAAACCAGTCCAGCTCGTCCCCGCCTCCCTAACCTGTTCTTCCTCCCACCTATCCACTCCTCCCACCTCAGGCCACACCCCCATCTCCTACCTACTAACCTCATCCTGCCCCCTTGACCTGTCCGTCCTGCCTGGACTGACCTATCCCCTCCCTAACTTCCCACCCACACTCACCTTTACTGGCTCCATCCCCGCCTCTTTGACCTGTCTGTTCCCTCTCCACCTATCTTCTCCTCTATCCATCTTCTATCCGCCTCCCCCTCTCTCCCTATTTATTTCAGAACCCCCTTCCCCTCCCCCATTTCTGATGAAAGGTCTAGGCCCGAAACATCAGCCTTCCTGCTCCTCTGATGCTGCTTGGCCTGCTGTGTTCATCCAGCTCTACACCTTGTTATCTCAGATTCTCCAGCATCTGCAGTTCCTGCTATCTCTAACACAGCCACTGGTTGGCCAGCAGCACTTACTGTGTGGGATATTCACTCCTGAGATCTGTTTGCCTTCCTAATTTTGTCTTTTAATTCTACCATCTTTGCATACTTTGACCCTTATGTTTCTGTGTTCTGTGCCACCCTCTCACTTTTGTTATCAATACCATATCCTTGCCAATCTTGTATGTGTGTGCGCAGATCTCCCCACAATTTTTGAAGAGGGTTGATAGAGGTGCTGCTAAATTTACCATAAAACATAGGGCAGAAGTAGACCATTCAGCAAATTGAGTCTGCTCCGCTATTTAATAAGATCATGGCTGATCCAATAATCCTCAACTCTACTGTCTACACATTCCCCATAACCCTTGATCCTCTTGCTAATTCAAAATCTATCCATCTCAGCCTTGAATAAACTTAATGACTCAACTTCAACAGCCTTCTGTGGTAAGGATTTCCACAGATTCACAATTCTCTGAAAGAAGAAATTCATCCTCGCATCTCTTAAATGTGTGACCTCTTATTCTGAACACTTGTCCTCTGATCCTAGAATCACCAACGAGGGAAAACAATCTTTCTTCATCTACCCTGTCAAGTCCCCACAAAATCTATTTTGTTTCAAATTTGATAAATAAGTTCCAGCAAAAGAGAAGGGATAAATGATACCATGGACAGGTAACTTCAGAGTGGATATGATGGAATAGTCAAATAGTCATAGAATCCCTACAGTGGTGGAAGGAATTTGGCCATATGGCCCATCAAGTCCACACTGATCCTCCAAATAGCATCCCACCCAGACCCATCCCCTACCCTATAATCTTGCATTTCCTATGGCCAACCCACCTAGCCCTCACATCCCTGGACAATATGGGCAATTTAAGCATGGCAAATCCACCTAACCTTCTCATCTCTGAATTGTGGGAGGAAACCACATAGACAGGGAGAATATATAAACTCCACACAGACAGCCACCCAAGGCTGGAATTGAACCCAGGTCCCTGGTGCTGTGAGGCAGCAGTGCTAACCACTGAGCCAAATGATTATATAGCACCACCACTATAACAACAATTGGTGCTAAGTTCACTTATTAAAACTTTGATGATGTCATGAAGGAAAAGAACAGATCCACACCCACATTTTTTTAGTCTTATTTGCAACTGACCTGATAATAAACCTGGGAAAGGCAGGTTTATAATAAGTCACTTTGTGTTCAATTGGAATGAATAACTTGCAGTGGTCAGAAAGGTCATTTTGGC